CCCCTCCTTCCTCCCCTCCTTCAGGTTGCCCATATGACCAAGAGTGAGATGGACCTGTGGGACAGCGGTCTGCTGGGGCCCGGTGCGCTGTTCCTCAACCAGTACTTTAACTGTGTGCTCAGTGAATACCTGGTCCTCTGGCTGTGTCTGGTGAGTCGGGGTTTGGGTTGTTTTTGATCCGTTTGTACTCACACGTAGAACAGATAGCGGGGGTACTCATATGACCTTGTGCAGTTGCGAGCGTCGTAAAACCTCTACTAAAACTAAAAAGAGCAGATAGTGGGTGGTTGGCGAGTGCTCTGGTGTGGTTTGCTTCTTCTTTCCTGTCAAAGTCAAACATCTATCGTCCTTGTCTCCCCTTCTTCTTTTTTATGTTTGTTACTCTCTTGTAACACCTCTAATCTTCTGCTGGCGCTCATATGACCGTATGCAGTTGTGAGCGTCGTAAAACCTCTACTAAAATTAAACAGTAGACCAGATGTATGAGGAGTATCCTTAGAATTAAGTGGCAGGATAGAATAAGAAATGAAGAGCTGTGGGAAAGGACAGGACAAAAGGATATAGAAGTAGAAATAGGACTAAGAAAGTGGCGATGGATGGGACACACCTTCAGAAAGCCCAGCGGAAAGATCTCAAGACAGTCACTGTAGTGGAACCCACAAGGAGCACAAGGCAGGTGTAGGCCACAGGAAACATGGAGGAGATGTGTGGAGGGGGACATGAGAGAGATGAAGCTCACTTGAAACGAGCTTGGAAGGATGGACCAGGACAGAGATAAATGGAAGGAGCTTGTATGTGGCCTATACCCTGCCAGGGGTGAAAGGCATTGATGATGATGACTCACACGTAAGGGGACAACATTCCACCGCACCGTATGCGTAAGATTAAGAAAAATATATTAAGATTCAGAAAAATGTTCAGTCAAAACAGATGATCGGAGGGCGCCACTGGTAGATTCTACTTCTTTTTTTTTTTCCATATAATTTTTTCAGGTTTATTTCCTTTTTTTTAAAAACTAGAAGTACAGTGAATTATAATCAAAGCATTTGTTTTTTGTTTAACCCCATCAAAGATCGTACATAACAAGATGGGCCACTCAGCCCAAAAAGTGTCCGCAGGAAGTCCGCTCTTTGCTTCAGATGGCGCTGCAGTCTGTTTTGAAGCTCTCTTTCGTTTTTCCAGAGGAAGAATAGGAATAGCACCTCCTTGCGTGCGCAGATCGACTGCTGTTCATCAGCAGTTCGGGTTCGTTCAGTGTGGAATTTTAGTTTTTTAAAATTTTAATGACCTCTCGCCTTTCATTCTAAAGTCAAATTAAACGAAGAAAACAATCACCCTTTCCTCCGGAAGAGGTTTTTTGTCAGCGTAACCATTTTAAAAAAGCGTTCTTCCGAAATTTATTCAAAAACTTGCTAGTTTCACTTTTATTTTTTCAACTCAAGTAGAGTAACTCTGTTCGCAAAGGGTGCGCTTTTGCAAAGAGGGCGCCACCGAATTTTGAGGACACTTTTTTAATTGGCTCAAAGAGAGAAGTGGCCCCTCTTGTTATGTAGACTCTTTGACCCCATAATATTAATTGTGGCTTAGCTATTACTGCTTTTTCACAAACAAAATATCCCAGCGGAGTTCGTGATTTTTCTTTTATTTTGTTTTTGTTTTTGTTTTTGTCCGTCCAGACCTGGGTGCTGTTTGACATCCTGAGGTACTCGGCAGTCGTGTGTCAAGAAATCTGCGAGTTCCTGGAGATCTATTGCTTTACCATCACTTCCCGACCAAACGCGGGAGGGGACAAGAAAAATGGCAGCGTTGACTGAGCCTCATCATGGCGGAAGTGTCGTGTCGTGTCGTTGAAAAAAGAATGTTTTGATGTATCATTTTTACCTTGTGCTTGTATAACTTATTTTTTTAGGGTATTTGCATTACATTACTGCATATTATGATGACTTTCATGTGTTTTTAATTTAAGAAGCCGTTCTTTTTTTAAAAATTTGATTTTGCGTGATATTTTGTACGTTTGAAGGACTGAGTGCAGATATAATATGGACAAGTATTTTCATCTTTGTGCAAGATTTTCTTTATTGTTAATTAACAGATGTCTGGTTTTATCCTCTTCCCCCCCCCCCCCCCCCCCCCCCCCCGCCCCCCTACTCCATTCCTTCCCGTCACATCTGTTTGTTTATTCATCATCAGTTCTCTTCCTCCATTCAGGGAACCATTACTTACGTCATCATAGATAGAGATATCGGAGTAGAACTGGTCTCTGTTCGTGGTTGTCATTTAACATGAGTTTTTTTCCTTCTCTTCTTCTTTCTTTTTTTCTCCTTAACCCTTTCACTGCTGAAAAATTTCCATGAACATCTGTACCTACAAGATTAAATGTTCATTCAAGGAATATTTAAACACAGAGAATGGTTTCAGAATAAGCAAAATCACAAGCTGTAACTAAAACAACTAACACTTTGGTCAACGAGATGAAGCAATGTAAGTGGAGAATACAAGCCAGAGCATACGTCTACCCAGCAGTGAACAGGTTAAAAAAATTTGTGTGTGTGTGTGTGTTTTTTCTTTTCGTTTTTGGTTTTTAGTGGTGGCCATTGCTGTAGGGAACATACTGTTGTGCGGGGGCTCTCAAGGCCTAGAGGTTAACTCACTTCAGACGGGTCACACAACAGTTGCGTGACCCCCGCCATGACGCTCGCGTCGGGTCTCACAAGCCCTGCGTGACCAACTTTGGAATTTTTTTTTCGCTCTACAAATCACGCACGGATCGCGAGACCCGCCTCGTACCCTTGTTTGGCCAAGCCTGAGCTACTTAGACTTCGTTTCGTATCTCTGGGGCCGGTAGTTTTTAAGTTATTGAAGGTGAAAGACAGTGACCCCAACTGGGGTTGAACAGACCGGAACTCGCGCTTTGTTTTTTTCTATACAGCTCATAGTAATCCGACAGTCGCGTCGTAGTAACGGTCGAAGAAGTCGCATGAACAAGAATCACATAATTTCGCCGTTTTCTATACTTCTGTGCGTTTTACTAGTTCTAGTGTCTCAGAATATGATGTGTCTAATAGTTAGGATCCTGGATATGTACCCGAACACGGCCCGAGCCGTAGTTCTAGGGCTAGATCTAGCACTAGTACCGGTGTTGTTTTTCGCGCAACGAAATCACAACGTCGTGCCGTACATCTGTCTCATGTAATTCAGTGTATGGGTCTGAATCAATGCACAGACCAGCTTTTATATTTTCACCAAACACTTGCACATGTATACAAGTCAAACCAGAACACTTTGAACTTTTATTTTTGTTGTTGCAGTGAATTTCATTCTACTTGTCACGTCTCTGGAAATTTTTCGAAAATCAAATTCATGCCAATTTTTAAAAAATCGTACAAATTAAAGTATTAAACTTAGACAACTTTAGTTTTTTGTATTAGATTAAGCTTGAATGTTACTTTACTGTGTCAAAAAATGATTACAATAGGGTAATTCTGAGAGTTGTGGTGATTTATTGAAATACCCCCCAAAACACCAGTCTTCAATGCTTGTGGCTGGTGAAAGGGCCCAGTCGCAAGTGAGTTAAGGTGTTGGCCTCTCATTCAAAAGGTCCCGGGTTCGAGTCCGGGTAGCGACCGAAAGATTTTCTTCTCTAAAATTGTCTCCTTTCACCTCCTTTCCTGCTCTCTAGCAAAGTTCTGTTGTCTGATTTCATTTCCACTTTCTGCCCCCACCCCCTCACCTCCTTTGCCCCCTCCTCTGGGCTCCTGACTCTTTCTGCAGCCTTTCTACTGCTACTCCTTGGTTTGCACCTTCTTGCCTATAAAAAACTGTCGTCCTTCCCTCCCCTCCTTCGTTTTTTGTGTTCGTTACTCTCTTGTAACACCTCTAATCTTCGGCACTTATATGACCTCATTGTGTTGCAAGTGCCGTTAAAATCTTACTAAAACTCTGACACTGACTGACGGGACACTTTCCAGGGCCACGGTTGGTTTATTGCGTCTTGAAAAGCCTCAGATTTTCTTTATTCGTCGTCCGTGTTTTTGAAAATAGCAACTGTTGTGGTGTGGCAGCGCTGCTTTGCTTTGAATGGGTTTTGTTTCTGCAGCAGTGCCAGTGACTAACATTACTAACAAGGGTACAAGACTTGTCCTGACTTAGGGAAGAGGGTTATGTCGCAGTGGTAAAATGGAGAATCTTATGATGTGTTCCTTTACGTTGTGTTATGTACACTTTTGGTTCCCAGCAGCCTCATGTAAAATAATTGTTAATGGCCCAAGAGCAGAGGTTGATAGGTTGTGAAAATGTGTGTATGTGTGTTTGCGCATACGACTGTTTTTTTTTTTGGCATTAGGATTGATTGTTAATACTATTAATAGTGCAAAATAATTACTATTCTATGCCCGGAAGGTTGTAAAAATGTGTGTGTGTGTATACATTACAAGTGTGTTTTGGGCATTGTATAATTTGATTGTTAATAGTGCAGTTAATACTAAGTCCCCTATGCCCGGTTCAGATGATCGTACAGTGCCATCCAACAACAAACTCATGACAATTTCCTGCAACTGCTTACTAACTACTAGTTTCTATAAATAACACAGTGTGCCGTACCCTTTGTTTCTGTACCGTACCCTCTGTTTGCTGGTGACACGGTTCTGATTATTACCTCTATGTCTTCTGTTAATAGTATTTCTTTGGCAAGCTGTTCAACTGTCCTAAGCCCCAAAAACCAAAACTTTTTAAGGAGAAAGAGAAAAAACAAACTTTCCTTTTTATAAAAATAAAAAAACAAAACAATTGCACTTACACTTCTACATATATAAATTATGTAGACTATTTTTTTTTTCTTTTTTCAACTTTTGGAATTTGAATTTCGACCAATTTTTTTCTCGGGCACATGCAGCCCAGCCTCTGTACCACTGATTAAGAAACTGCGTTTTAAGAAACTGTGTGAATTTTAGGCGCAGTACATCTGAGCGACTGTCTAATGATATTTGTCTCTGGCACGTACCATAACTTTTCCCTGGCAAGAACATGTTGTGTGCAGAAAGTATTTCCTCTACCTCTACCCACCCGCCTAATAAAACTTTTTTTTTTTTTTTTCCAATTTAGCATGACTTACGGTATATATGGAGGTACGTAAGGGGTCCTTAACCCTATTCGTACACCCGGGGGTCAATTTGTACTCCCGGGGTTGTATTCTTCACATTTTAGAATACTTCTAGTACGAAGATGTCTTTTAAATTTTCTGTATTTCTCAAAAAATCATTTTGACAGACTGCTATGCAAAGGGTACAGATCGGATTAACGCGTAAATTTCCTCTTTGGAAAGTGGTGGCACAGAGTTTCCCTCGCCGTTTGGATACAATAGTAAAACACGAAGTACGGATAGAGTTAAAAGTTACTTGGAGTCAAACGCACAGCCATTGTCAGTGTAGGTTCAATGTTCACGCCACCTGAAGGCACTCAAAATCCAGATATCTCTTATGAATGCCCTCCAGATAATTATAGCGATACACCCAGAAAGTTGCCCTAGCCAGCCAGCCAGCCAGCCATTTAGAAAAGAAATGCGCCTACAGCTCGCGGTGGGCCCAAGTGGTTACCCATCTAAGTACTAACCGGGTTAAGCTAACTAACCCCAAGTTTGACACATACAAAGTTATCAGTTTGTTCAGAATTTGCTTCGTTGGTTATGATTATGAAGTTACTTCCATGATTTCTGAATTCAAGAAGATTGAAATTTTTATTTTATTTTAAGGCAAATGCTGAGTAATTATCAGCCAACTTTCTGTTCTTTGAGAAGTTGATGTCGGTAAAGAGTACATTTCCTCCCCGGATCTTCTGCTTGTATACGGTATCCTGTTTGCTATTGTAGACAGACTTTCTAGTCATTCAGATAATGAGATTGCTTAGTGTGGAGAGATTTTTACATCTTAAACATTCTTTTATAGGTCTATCCTGAAAGTGTCAGCTGTGATCTCACCTCAATTTTCGTTCTTTTTAGCAGCTTTCATAGCTTTTATCAGTGAGCGGAAACGTTTTGCAGTGCAGGCAGCCTGTTTTGTTTTTCGTTTTGTTGCTTATCTTTATTTTGGTATTTTTAGAATGAGAGTAGTTGACAGTCAATTGAACGAGAAGTTTCACACTATTATTATCGACCAACTGTTTAGTAATGTTTGCCGTCCACCTAGTAAGTGAAATGGCTCTGTGAAAATCATCCTTTGATTTAGAGCGGTAAACTGGGTGGTTGACGGGTGCTTTTGTGTGGTTTGCTTCTTCTTTCCTATCAAACAACTATCGTCTTTATCTCTCCTCCTCCTTTTTTATGTTTGTTACTCTCTTGTAACACCTCTAGTCTTCGGCACTTATATTATGACCTTATTGTGTTGCAAGTGCCGAAAAACTCTTACTAAAACTATAGAGCGGTGAAGTTTTGTAGCGCAAGCTAATATTTTATTTATAAAAGATCTATTGCAGGGTGTAGTGGTCCGGCCACATTAATTTTCCCAGAGAAATCCAATTTGGTTCGTTTATTTCTAACCAGGTATCTGTCTTTTACTCTTACATCCCTAATCTCATGAAAAAAACACGGACGTGGATTGGGTCGGGGTTTTTTGTTGTTTTGGGGTGGGGGGTTGGGGGTGGAATTCAGAGGTATTGTCCTTGGATAATGGAATGAAATCAAGTAAGAATTACTTAAATGATTGAAAAGGTTTTTAAAAAATGATGATTGAAGTTGAATTGCAATATGTAGATCGACCTTGTACTTAATTCCGTATGTTGGGCTAAACATGCATTTGTAGTTTAGACAGAACCCAGGGAGGTCATGTAAATGGCTTCAATTTTCACTGTAAAAAAAAAATTGCCGCAGTGCTGTTTAATCTTCGGTTATCCTTACTTAAAGCTTTAAAAAAAACTAATTTAAGGAAGTACCTTAGGTATTGTGGTATGAATAAAGTCACAGTGGATTACAATTTGGGAGGGGGGGGGGGAGTTGTACACGTACTTTTGTAAAACAATCACATAAAAAATGTGAAAGATATAATCACAGCGGCATTCTGAATGTCAAGAAAATAATATTGCACACCACTTCCTTCACAAACACCAGGTGCCTATGTGCGTACTGTTGTCAATACATACTTATTTGAGGGTGTGAGCAAACCTCACTGGCCTATAGCTACTTGGCTGTCCTCTTTAGTCATTACAGTACAATGTATGTGCACCTGGCTCGCTGCGACCAGTTCATGTGGTTCGGATTTCATTTAAAAAAAATTGTTTTGACTGCGAAGTTTCAGTATAAGCTAGGTCCAACAAACGCAGGTATTTTAATCCTGGCTTGAATGGATGAAAATATGTGGCATGTAACTCTTTGTGTGTGAAGAAGTCCTGTGATTGGTCACACTCACTCTAAATGACTCTCAAAATGACTGGAATGTCTCTCTCTCTCTCTCTCTCAGGTTTTGATACTCGGTGCATGTCTAAATGACTCTCCAAATGACTGGAATGTCTCTCTCTCTCAGGTTTTGATACTCGGTGCATGTCAGTGAAATGATCCGCGTGTAGGTAGATTGTCGGATGATTGGGCTAGAGATGTTGAGACTCGTTGCTAGAGAAATACAGCCTACCAGCCAGGGGAACTTGAGTTTAACTGTCACTGCGGTTTTATGCACACAAAAAATTCAGAAATTATGCAAACTGAGCCCAAAATGTGAAATTATGCGATTCTGTTAATTTTAATTTTAATAAAGAATGAAAAAGGAAATAACCAGAAATTATGCAAAAATGATCAAATTTTACTAATTTATGCGGGGTGCATAAAACACTGGGGACAGGTTTAAAGGCAAGCTATTTCATTGGGTGGGAGTTAGCTTCCTTAGTGTTCAGTTATTACAAGGGTTGTTGGGTTGTTTTTTTCCAATATTGATGAAAATGATATAATTGAACGTCCTCTCTCGTTGAAGCGAGTCTAATGTTTAGTGGATGAGAGTTTACTTGTACTAAGTTACCCACTCTGTGGATATGAGTTTCATTTGTACTAATGTACCCACTCTGTGGATATGAGTTTCATTTGTGCTAATGTACCCACTCTGTGGATATGAGTTTCATTTGTACTAATGTACCCAATTTGTGCTTTTGCTCTTTAGCATTCTTTAATTCTTAATTTTAAAAACCACTGTGTCAATGTTGATTGAAAGTAAGGGAGTGTTTTCCTTGTGTACAACAATATGTGAGGCAGCGTGGTGGAATCAGGCTCTCGTCAATTTCTGGGCATGTAGAGTGATTGGTATCATCTTAAAGCTTGTTTACTTGTCTTTATTTGGATGAAAAAATTATCTATGCATCTTGAATGCAAGTCGAGATATTTGCGAAAGAAGGAGGTGGGGGTCACTTGTTTTTAGAGGTAAAATTAGTAAGAAAATGGCCGCCAAAGATTAGTTATTTCCTTAGCTTAAGAGTCCGTGGTAACTGAAAATTTACATTTTTTGTGCCTTTAATCAACGTTTTTCGGAAGACGGAAAAAATCCACACCGAAATGAGTTCTTTAATGGACATGAAAGGTGTTGAGCCAAAAAACAACAATTTGATAAAAATTCACAAACCTGTGGAAAAATGCAAGTTTCTTCACTTTGATTATTTTGACGAGAGCCTGATTTCACCACGCTGCCTCACATATTACACCAGCCACTTGGAAGCAGCCGTGAGCAGTTTGTCTGTTGTCGTTTGTTGCCCGCCTCCTGCTTCTGTGCGATCACATGTCTATGAACAAACTGGGTCAAACCAGATGATCATTACATCATCATCGTATTTCGTTTTTATACGTATCAGGCAAATATCGATTGCTTACTTAGTGTAAGACTCCACCGTACGCCGTCTTAAAAAAGTGACGTATGTATGACAGAAGAGTCTTACTCTGAGCTGTTGGTGTGACTTTTTCACGCTTAAATTGTGCTCTATTGAGCATGGCAACCGGTTCATTACGTCATTGCAATACTCAGTGCTGGGTCACAGGCAGAAGTCACTCAAGCCTGTCTGTCTGCCTACCAGTAGTTGCTGTGTGTGTGTGCCTGCCTGTATGCCACTATTGCTGACTGGTGTGTTGTGTTTTTGTGTCTGTGTTCGTTCATCAGTCAGGTTTGGAGACTGATGTTTCATTTCTTTCACCTTCATTGATCCTACGATCCACGAAATATTTTTACAGGGAAGGGAGTTTTTATATGTATTTTCTTCTTCTTTTTCTGAGTTTGAAGACAGTAGCCCTAATAAAAAAACAAGCATGGATTTTCCCTTTTGTGTGTGTGTGTGTGTGTGTGTGTGTGTGTGTGTGTGTGTGTGTGTGTGTGTGTGTGTGTGTGTGTGTGTTTGTGTGTGTGTGGGCAGAGGGAGTTGTGTAGACATTTTTTCTGTTCTTTTTGAAAAAGCAAGGTAGGCCCACTGGTATTTCATCCTTCACTTGTGATTATTTCTGAGAAATGCGCTCATCCCTACATATGTCTGTTTTGAAAAACTGAAATAGGGTTTATTTAAGAAATTTAAAAAATTGATTTGTGGGGTGGGGGTGGAGTTATGCCTGCCAAGGTTACCGTTTCCAGAAGCGACTTTTTGGCCAGATTTATCAGCATTCTAAATTTAATTTACAGTTATCAATTACTTGTTATGTCAGTTGTGTTTAATTCTTGTCATCTTGAATTGAATTGAAGTTCTGTCTGATAAAAAAATCGTGAAAACATGAAATTGAAATCATGTATGTTGGTGATTTTTCTGAAGGGTCTCGTGTGATGGTATATTGGACAAGCTTTTTCTCTTATCTTTTGTTTTCCTAGTGAAAAGGAAAAAGACGACCGATGAGAATGGATCAACTCGGTATGTGGTCTAGAGGTTAGGTGCTTTGCTTGCCGTTGTACGCAGGTGACCCGAGTTTGATTCCTGAGTGAGGGAGATTTTTATCGATCGAGTATCTGGGTCTTTGATTCTGCTAGGGTGTTGTATGATCTCTATCTCTATCATCAGTCTATTTTTGGTTGTGACAGGAAGGGCCGAAGCCTGCCTCCTAAATAATCTGAAGTGTGTCTGTGGGATGTAAAAACGCCACCGACTTGTTTTTTTTTATCTTCGAAAATGGATGAATGATGAAAGGCAGCATAAGAACTTCTCTGGTCACAATGAAGTTTTTTTTGGTATTAAAAAGTAATCTGTGCCCAGTAAAGCCTACCTCATAATTTGAACAAGAAAATGTTGAGCTTTAATCATTAATGAGTCTGCATAACTTACTGCGATACACACGGGCAGATAGATTGTAGTTTTGTAGTGTGTGGGCTAGCACAGTAGAGACAGAGACACAGTCTGCTCAAATTGCTTGACTTTCTCCCACTACTCCGTAGTTTTATTTCTATGAGAACGGTATTTGTCTTTGCTTTGTGCTTCAACTTCAATCTTTCATGTTTGGGGGAAAAAATAGGGCTGCAGATGCTTCTCTCTCTCTCTCTCTCTCTCTCTCTCTCTGTGTCTCTCTCTCTCTCTCTCTCTCTCTCTCTCTGTGTCTCTCTCTCTCTCTGTCTCTTTGTCTCTCTCTCTCTCTCTCTCTGTCTCTCTGTCTCTCTGTCACTGTCTCTTTGTCTCTCTCTCTCTGTCTCTCTCTCTGTCTTTGTCTCTCTCTCTGTCTCTCTCTCTCTCTCTCTGTCTCTCTCTCTCTGTCTCTCTGTCACTGTCTCTTTGTCTCTCTCTCTCTCTCTCTCTCTGTCTCTCTCTCTCTGTCTCTCTGTCACTGTCTCTTTGTCTCTCTCTCTCTCTCTCTCTCTGTCTCTCTCTCTCTGTCTCTCTGTCACTGTCTCTTTGTCTCTCTCTCACTGTCTCTCTCTCTCTCTGTCTCTCTCTCTCTCTGTCTCTCTGTCTCTCTGTCTCTCTGTCTCTCTCAGTGTTTGCTGTTTTTTCGCTTTTTGCTACTATGTAATACTAATAGGCCTACTTGTAGACCTCTGTGCTTCTGTAGAACTTTGTCATTTTTGGGCGGGAGTTTTCGTAGTAGTCACATTGACCTCTTATATTTTGACCCCAGACCCTGTACTGTAATTATCATCATACCATACCTTTTGAGACTGGTTGTTTGAGTACTTTGAGCCTGCCATATAGTATATATTATATATATATATATATATAGAATAACTTGAATGTTGTGACATTTTCTCCATTAAGTGTAGAAGAATGGTGTCTGTTTCTGCTCTATTCCATCCATGTCGTGTATGTAGCATGTAGCCACTGCTTCTTGTAGGCTGTAGAAGAATTACTGCTTCCAGTACCCCTGTGAAAGACAAGTTGTGCGATCGATCACGCTGACTATGCCTCATTGCTGTTTAAGTGCAAGAGATGATGAGCCCGGGAGTCCGCTTAAACTTAAACACGGAACACGGTTTATCCGAAAAGAGCCGTACACCGAAAGAACATTCGGTGGTCCTGCTGAAATCGGCTTATGCAGACTCCAATATGTGTAGTCTGATGAAGGCTTCGATATCTTTGCATTATATACATAATATGCTCCCTAGTTTGTGTTCAATGTCAAACATTATTGTTTAAAAAGCATCTAGTTTTCTAGAATTTAGTGATGTAACATTCTCTCTAGAAATTCAGGTGCAAAAAAAATAAAACAAAACAAAATACAGATTTCAACATAAGTTAAGGATCACCTTGACAGACAGCCCTGATTTTTTTAATAAATCTGAAAAAAAGACAGCACGGAATGTTTCTAAATTTTTTGCTCTGAAAGTGTTAATGGGTTACCATTGCGTACTGCAAAGCTTCCTTAAGGGGCAAAACCGCCACGTACAGCACGGAAATCCTCGGGGAATTTTAGCCAAATTTTCTGTTTTTTATCGACTCCTGTACGACACCACAGACATTTCTCAGTTAAAATTTCTGGTGCACATCAACAGGACAGACACACGTCTCAAACTGCGCTCACTTTGGTGGAAATATAAGCCACCGTTTGCGCAAAGTCCAGGTTGCATCAACATGCCACCAAGACGAAAGCTGAGAGACTTTGGTCATGCCAGACCTATGGCATGGCTGCAGGATGGAGTTGGAGCCCGGGAAGTTGCCAGAAGGCTTGCAGTGTCACACGACTCAGTCATTGTCAGCCTGAGGCAGCGCCAAGAAGCCACTGGATCAGTCCAAGAACGCCCACGTGCAGGTCGACCTAAGAAGACCACTCAGAGTCAGAGTGTTTGCAAGTGGTCCTTAACTTATGTTGAAGTCTGTAACAAACAAACAAAACAACACAGGCACACTGTACATTTTATAGAGCTTGTGTGTACATGAGAAAATCATGTTCAGTAAATTTTTATGAAAATAAGATGCTGGTAAAAAGTCAAGTTTTGTTGTTTCTGGGAGTATTTGATTTCGACTGGGTTTTTTTTTCCGCTTTGTTCTCGCTCGGATGTGCTGTCTCATCAGTGCCTGTTGTATTTTTGTCGTCTGCTCAGTCGGAGGCTGATTGGAGGGCGGTTTTGTTACTCCTATTTCTTTCTTATTTGTTTGTTTTGTATTATCTGCCAGTTGTCTTCCTTTTTTCCCTCTGCACTGACTGATGGATAATTCCTGTGTGGACTGACCGTTACTGTGTGGGTGCGCTTACTTCTTCATGACTTCAGCTCAAACTCTTTTTTTGTTTTTGTTTGTTTTTATTTGTTTGTTTGCAGTTGCAGCGATGGAATACGCACATTTTTTTTTTCTTGGTGATTAACTTTTGTTTATCTTTTTGATTGAT